CTTGTCATTTTCTCAATCTTGTGTAACAGAGATATTATGTTTTTATAATCATAATTTTGATATGACTTTTAAACTTTCTTTGTAAGTAAAAATAGAGAAAATCAATGTTAGACTCATTACAAAGAAAGTACTCGTTTTGTTAATTATAAAACTTATTTTTAAACCCACACTTTAGTAAAAAATAAAATTCAATTGATAAAAGAACAAAAACGAAAATAAAATAACAAGGAACATAAGTTGAATTTCAATTTAGCAGCATCCTTTTCCATTGTCCTTTGGTTTATCAGTCAGATTTGTAAGTTCATTTGGTTTTGTTGATCCATTACCTCCTTGGTTTGATTTATCCATCATAGCTTCAGCTAAAGCATTAAATATTTCATTTACTCCAGTTCCTTCTTTAGCAGAACAGTTATATTCAGGAATACCACCTAAGTTGTTTACAACATTTTTAACCATTTCTTTACTTACAGTTGGGTTTGGAGAATCTGACTTATTTCCAACAAGAAAAACAACTGGAGGATTAGCACCAGTTCGTTCCTTAACTTCATTAAACCAGCTATCAACTTTTTCTAATGTTCCAATATCATTGACGTCATATACAATAATAACACCTTGTGCATTACGATAATAACTTGCTGTAATATTTCTAAATCTTTCTTGTCCAGCAGTATCCCAAATTTGCATTTTAACAGTTTTATTTCTAATATTTAATATTTTAGGTTTAAAATCAACACCAACAGTAGAAATATATACATTGTCATAAGTGTCTTCACAAAGTCTTTGCATAATAGCAGTTTTACCAACTCCTGATTCTCCGATAATTAAGATTTTAAAGAGATGATCGTAGTGTGCTTTAGCTGCCATAGAGATTTATTCTATTTAAGTTCATATCTAAGTTCCTTTTTTCTTTTCATATTTCTATTAAAATTACCAATCCTTAAACAGCTTTTTTTCTTCCTTTTTCCCTTTAGAATGTTCTTTTCCTTTCTTTTAATATATATTCTATTTAATATATTATTTTTTTCTATTCATTATTTCTTTAAGTTTTTTGGTATGAAAATAAAATATAAAAATTTGTTTTAAAAACCATTATTTTGTTTTAAGAATGGACTTGAACATTTTTTTGACATATCACTAAGAGAAAGAACCTTATAACCTTGGTGTTTAAGATATATAATCATTTGTTCAATATACTCAACAGTTTCAAGTGTGTCATGACAAATAATTATATCACCCGGTTTAATTCTACCTAATAAACTAAAAAGATTATATTGGGCATTTCTAATTTGAAAATCAAAAGAATGAACAGTACCAAGTGCCATAGTATAATTGTATTTATCAAGTATTTTGTACATGTATTCCAAAGGAAAGAATGATGCTGGTCTGAACCAATTATACTTATTATTTTGAAAATACCCCAATTTTAATAAAGCATCAGTCTAATAACTGTTAATATCTAAGTTTGAATATAAATTGAATAACCAAACTTTTTTTACTTGTTCTTCAAATTCTTCCATAGTCATCTTATATGCTGCAAATTTGTTAAACATATGATTCCCAACATCATTGCCGTTACGTAAAATATCTTCTCGAAATTTTGGATAAAAACGATATGATCCATTTAACATTTGAAGTTTGTTTCCTAACATAAAGAAAGTTGCAGTCGCATTATTTCTTTTAAGAACTTGAAGAAGATATTTTGTGCCTCCTGAAGGAGAGTCATCAAAAGTTAAAGCTATTGCTTTTGTTTTACAATTCCGATCAAAATAAAATAATGCATCTGGGTTTCTAACTTCAAGAAAATACATAAGCCATTGTGATTGAAAAAATGCTGACAAAGAAACAATAATTAATGTAACAATCAATAATATTAAAAAAGCAACTAAATATATTCTAATGGTTTTTGATAATTCCATCCTTTTTTGGAGGAACTATTTACAAGCTAAAATACTTAAACTGAGTGATTCTAATAGAAAAAGTTAGTATATTATAAATTAACAAAGTTAAGATTCTCGTTTCATTTTCAAAATGATTCATCTCATCTTTTTGATTTGGGTTTTTATTTTAGAAAATATTATTAATTTAAAAACTTTTATTGATTTTATTATCTTTTTAATAATTTTTTTGTTCACTTCTTGAAGTTACATTTATTCATTTATGAATTGAATGAATATTCTTTTTGTACAGTCCAGTAAAAATGATTTTTTTAAAATTTCCTTAATTCATTACATCTGTTTTATTTTCATTAATTAAGAAGCCACTTTAACTAGTCCTAAAAATATCTGATACTCAACAACTTATTTTGTTCTCTACTCATTCACTTTTATCATAATATTATTTATATTTTAAACAATAACACAATATTGTAATTGATCCATTTCATAGTATCAATATTATCCTTTATTGTAATTTAATTTATAAATACTTCTGTTTTCTATAAATAAATTACATTCTCTAGCTCAAAATTTGTTTTTGTTCAATAAGTATCTTACCTTATTATATCTAACATTTTATCTTCTATTTACTAGTTGGCTTTAATAATTCATTGAGTTAGTAAATATTATTTTTTGGAGATTTTACTAAGGGTATATACAATTAATATTTACAATAATAAATTATTCTTTAGTTTTATTAAGTTTTGGAGTAAGGACTTTCTTAACCATCCATCATAAACCTTATCATTGTTTTTTATCGCCTCTTCTTTCTTAGTACTAATTTTATTAAAGACTAATGTCTTCTATATTATTCTGATTCCATATTGATTAGTTTCATCTTTTAAATAAATTTTTCTTATTCCAGTTTCTTCTTTCTATTATCTTATTTAAAAGTTACTCTCCTTAAACTGTTCATCACATAGTCTCTTCTATTAACCTCAAAATAACTAGTATTCAAAAATAAATGAATTAAGAATAATTTTGTGGAATCACCATTTCCTTTCTTCTCTATAGCTACTACTTCCATTCCCTCTTCGCTCAAACCGATCGCTACGTTCACTGGGTCTATAATCATCTTTGTGGTCACTAGGTCTATAATCATCTCTACGATCACCAGGCCTATATTCGTCCCTACTATCAGTTGGTCTATAATCATCTCTACGGTCAGTTGCTCTGTAGTCATCTCTACTATCACTTGGTCTATAATCATCTCTACGGTCGGTTGCTCTATATTCGTCTCTACGGTCAGTTGTTCTATAATCATCTCTACGATCACTTGATCTATATTCGTCTCTACGGTCATTTATTCTATAATCATCTCTACGTTCATTTGATCTATATTCTTCCCTACTATCAGTTGGTCTATAGTCATCTCTACGTTCAATTGCTCTGTAGTCGTCTCTACGGTCATTTGATCTATAATCATCTCTACGGTCAGTTGCTCTGTAGTCATCTCTACTATCAC